TTCATACAGTTTGTTACAGTAACACCAGCCTTATTCTTATCCTCAAAATTGATCCTCAGCCTGTCTAAATATTTGTGAATGCTGTAGGTCTAATGGTTCTCTTCTCCTTTCTCCTTGTATAGCTCCTTTCTGCATGAACATGTATCTGGACATGGTCAACACCACTGGAGGAGCCATTGCCTGGGCCTTCCTCAAACCAATGCTAATGGGACAAATTCTATACACCCCTGACACACCTGTCACTAGGGCCATAATGGAGAAGGTATAATACATACAGCATCAATAAAAACACACGCACAAGTTACCTTCTCTGCCCTTTTATTACACCCACACACAAATCGAATGATTAATTATTATTGACATACTGTAAACAAACACGTCCAATGTATGGGTTTGCTGGCTAAAGTAGTCAAATTATTTACTCAGCTGTATGCATCTCCACTTTGTTCTCTCATTAATTTCCTTTCTTTTTCCACTCAAACCTTGCCATTTATAAACTTTATCTTCTAAATCCTCCGAAATCCCTCATCTGTCAAGTTTTTGTCACAGCTATTTCCACTTCTTCTAGGCCATAGTTACCAGTTTAGTCTTCATGATAAGTAGTAAACAAGAAAAACAGTGTTACAGGGGGTATACACATATTTGTATGCACCACCATCTTCTGCTGTGGTTCTATTTTGAGCAAGTTTGACTTTGTTTTTTGTATACTGCTGCCTTCACAGACTCAAACAGCCACACACACAAACACAGCAGATTATGAAATGTTGCTGATACCTAGCCATTTCACAAGTTCCTGTCCTTGTCTTGTCCTTGTGCAGGCCAATGCGACCTTGCAGGAGTTTGCAAATCTGAGGAAGAACTCTGAGGACTGGATCGAATCCTCCAAATACATAATAAACTCTGCCCAAATACTCAGCAACACTTTGCCAATGCTGCAGGTATGAAGATGAACTGCCTTCTGTATATCTGATTATTCCAGCTGACTCCTTGTCGTCTGAAAGTTTGGAGATAAACTTTGCAGTGGTCTTCAACGAGTTTTCAGCAGCTGAATCTTGATGTTGTGCATTGTCTCTTCCACTCTCCCTCCCCTCCTGTCAGAATTCCCTCGGCAATTCCTTTGTGAAGAACTTCATTGAGATGCAGACAGACATCAATGTCGACAAAATGAAGGAGACGCTCAGCAACTTCTGTGAGTGAGCATTTGAAGGTCTTACTTTTGAAAGCTGCAGATACCAGGCTTACCTTTCTATTCCTCCCTCACTTATTGCTTGTAAAATATCCACACTATCAGAAAATGGGACGGCTCCATGGATTTACAGGAAGAATTCCGCTCAGTTCAACATGAATTTCTCAGGGCATCTCTCCTTGATGTGATTATGAATGTCAGTGATTTTTTCCCAACAGGGTCTGATTTTGACATGCAGGTATTTAATTAGATAACCTTGCATTGTCAGAAAATATTTTTATCATAGTTAACATATGACATAACAAGACATGGCACTAAACAGACACAACAAATGGCATTATTTTAATTTGGATTTACAGCAATCAAAGCTTAAACTGCAGCCAAATGTCTTTTTCTTTTTCAAAGCTAACATGACGGTCATGCTGGAGAAGAACAAGCAAATACTGAATCAGATCACCACCTTGTCCACGCTGATGGTGGACCTCTCCTCCTGTATCAAGTTTGACCGCTACCAAGGCTACGACTCTGCCGACCAGCTCAACGCAGAAGCCCATGAGCTTGCCAAAAACCGAGATCTCTACGCAAGTGAGTAAATCTGGGGTATAACAAACTCATTCAGCCCTCCAGGTTGATTGGACAGTGCAACACGCATACGAGACCTGCAATGGTTTTCAATCTGTTTGAGTGGATGTTGATTTAGGTCAATTTTTACATCCTGACAGCTGATTGTGATTGCATTCCTTAACATTTGTATGTCAACTGAATTCATGATACTGATTAATCTTTTTTCCAGCCCAGTTCTACAACCAGCAAGATTGTTAATTTGCCTTTCATTTTGCTGCTCTACCTTTTCTGAACTTGAGTCTGTGCTAGAGTTTGTGGGTAAGATAACACCAAGGTTTCATGAGTGTAAACCCAGCCTGTGAAAGAGGCTTTCAGGAGATGCTTACTTGGCAATAGTTTATCTAGGGCAAGGAACTTAAGAGTTAGTCTGGTCTTTGAATTTTGTCCTGAAGTTTAAAACTTTGTGCAGTGAGATAGTAAAATCTGTCTTCAAGGTGTCATCTTTAAGCTTCCCAAAGATGAGGACTCATCCAGGAAGCGTCAGGCCAGGTCTTCGTCCTCTACAACCTCCCTGCCTCCCAAAGTCAGCTACACTATCCGCATGCACATGGACAACGTCATGCGCACTGACAGAGTCCGGGACCCCTATTTTGTGAGCGACCCGCACATCTCGGCCAGGCAGACGATGCGCTACAACCGGGGCTTTGTCTACCTGCAGGAGAACATTGATCGGGCTATCATTGAGACCCAGACTGGACAGAGGGTCACAGAACCGGCTGTCCAGCTGCAGCCCTTCCCCTATCCCTGCCACCTCCGGGATGAGTGAGTCCCCCATATACATGGATGCAGACACACACACACACACACACACACATACACACACTGTATGAAGATGGTCCTGCATGGATGCATACAACATGAAAGGATATACATTGTCTTTCTGAGGGGGCGTACAGGCACTGATGTGGAATAATGCATGCTCTCTCATTATTTATTAGCCACTTGGGACTGACAGTAAGTTCTCTTTCACAATATAATTGGCTCGGCACCATGTGCATGAATATTCACCGTTATTGTGCATTCATTTTTGAAGACAATACACACACATACACTAAAACGCCCTTCAGGCCTTTAATATAAGGAACACCACTTATCTCTGTAGTACATATCCAATCCAACATGAGTTTGGCATTAACTTGTGCATCAATACACTACATTGTTTCCAATAAATCATGCTTGAACGTAATGCCTATGTTTGCGCTTGGCCTCGAGTGCCTTAAGACAGCTAAAATATCTCATCAAAGAAGCACCAGCGGGCCACTGTCTCTGGCTCTACCAACTATAAGATATGATGATCCTCGCCTCTCTGTTGTTTTGATTTATTACTCAACAACAGAATTCCTGACATGATAGCTGTGAAATATAGCTGTGTTGTAAGAAAAACAGTGATCACTAAATTCCCATGTGTCAGGCACCAGATATGATTAGGTAAAAAAAATCTAAAATAAAATAGAGAGGCATTTATTTTCTGTAAATAATAAGAGGATCAGAAAGTAACTGTCAAAAATCCCCAAACCCTCCTTCGATATTGCTCTTCCACTCTCTCATCTCTGTCTCTCTGTCAAGCCAGTGACTGAATGATAGGCCTTCTCATCTGCTGTTGTTGACAGTGATTGGATGTTAGGTTTTCTAGAAATTTAACTGACAGTTGGTCTGTCTGTATTCCCCAGGTACCTGGAGGCCATCTCTTTTGTCTTCCCACTCATGCTGATGATGGCCTGGGTGCTGTTTGTGGCTGATTTTGTGAAAAAGCTGGTGCATGAGAGAGAGCTGAGGCTGCATGAGGTAATGTTTTTTTGCCTCGGCAAATTGATGACTGAGTTCTTGGTTTCCAAAATATCATGTAATAATATTTATTTTGTGTGTTAATTGACAAATACAATTGGCTATTGATGAACAGTTGACGGTGTCAGGAGTAGAGCCCCTAGTACCTCGAGGTTTCATCTCTGCTGTAAAGATTCCTAAGCGCCCCTGGCAAGCAGGCACTGAATCTGTATTTTTTACTGACATTTCTGTCTATTCCCATCCATTGATGTTGCTTTTCCCACAGTACATGAAAATGATGGGAGTGAACCCGCTCAGTCACTTCTTTGCCTGGTTCCTGGAGTGCGCCGCCTACCTGGTGTTGACCATCTTTATCCTCACGCTGGTGCTGAAATATGGCCTCATCCTGCCCAACAGTGACGGCTTCCTCCTTTTCCTCTACCTCTGCGACTATGGATTGAGCGTCCTGGCCTTCAGTTACCTGGTCAGCTCCTTCTTTGACAAGACCTACATTGCCGGCCTCAGTGGCAGCCTCCTCTACATCCTGTGCTTCTTCCCCTTCATTGTGGTCATGGCCGTGGAGACAAATCTCACCTTTTCCCAGAAGAGCGCCTTGGTAAGGAGCCTCTGGACCTCGTCTGTCATGACTCATAATAAACTAGTACTGTGATATGTGTAATAGCTTAAAACAGCAAATAATGTAATTTGCTCTGGAAGATACTGAGAATTGAATGGAGAGATAAGAAACACAGAAGGAGATTTTATGCCATTTCATTTTATTCCAAAATTGTATTTACTCTATCCATCTTAGAAAACAATTTTAAGTCTTAATAAACAGTGTCTTTCGCCTCCAGTTGTTTTCAATTGTAAGGTTTCATTTTTATTTTTCATTTCGAAGTAAGCAGTGATGAAGCTGTTTATTTCTGTTCGCAGAACAGTTTTGCTGCCTTCTTATGCTGACATAAATTGTGTACATTTATCTAATAAATCCTTATTTTTCTGATAATATGAAAGAAAAATAGTGCTCGCTGTCTGCTGATCAATAATTAGAGGTCAAACATTTCTATTGTTATCCAACATACCATCACTGCGTACTTCTAAAGCTTTGTTGCTTTGAACAAAACCCTATGAAGTATCACTTCATACTACACAAAGTTGTCAAGTGCGCAGAAGAGAGGAATTACAGAAAGGCACTGTGTGAAAAAAGAAGATTTATTTTTATTCTTTGTTTTTACTGTTTCTGTTTCTGTATCCTGTCTAATTTGTCTTTCATTTTCTTGCAGAGTTTGTTTTCCCCGACCTGTTTCAGTTACGCCAGTCAATATATCTCTCGCTACGAGGCCCAAGGAGAAGGTACGTGCATGTAGACATATCTGACTTGCATCAAATTAGAGCTTTTTGACTAAAGCTAGTATCACTGGGAAGCAAAAAAAAAAAAAAAATTGCATTTACTTTTTAGGCATTCATTGGAGAAACTCGTACACCTCGCCCATACCTGGAGACACGGCTTCGTTCGGTTGGCTGTGCTGGCTGTTGCTCATCGACTCCATCCTCTACTTCATCATTGGGGTTTACATCCGCATGGTCTTCCCAGGTAAACTATAAAATCATAGTCTTTATAAAAATGAAGCAGGTCTTCTTTGTGAGGTCAGTTGCTGTTGAAACTTGTTGGCAGTATTGTAATTACCATAACAATAATAGCATTAGCATGATAATATTAGCATCTCTGACATTCCAACTCAATGGTGCACCCTAGCTATATTTGTAAAGTATATTTTAAATAATTTAAATACATTTTTGTGTTTTTTATGATGGTGTTAAAAACCCCTAGTTGAATTAAATGCAGAAGTTGATTGGTAAATGTGTCTTATAACAGTGTTATATTATATTATATTATAGTATAATAGTGTATGTATTACACTATGTATTAAAGAGAAGTCCCTGGTTATTTTTCACCCTTCAGGAAAGTACGGCATCCCTGCCCCGTGGTACTTCCCCTTCAAAGCCTCCTTCTGGGCTGACCTGTGCTGTTGCCGGAAGTCTAACACTAAGGTGGACAGAGGACTCCTCTTTGCCAACATCATGCAGAAAAACCAGCCTGTCTTCTCTGACGACAAGGGAAAAGGTACAGGAAAGAAAATGACATTGTGCTACCCAGATAACAGTAAGAAATGCTGTCTCCTCTGGTGTGCTGTGTTTTGAAACATGGTGTCCTCCCTTTCATGGTCTGTCTTTTTTTTCTAACCAAGACGCCTGAGTATTTACATTTCCCCCTCACTCTTAGTTGAATCCCTCTCCCCTGTTAGTTTGATTTACAGGTTGCCTCTTTCTCCATGTTTCTCTCAGGCCAGAACACTCTTTCCTCTCAGGCCGGTGAGGATTTCTCAGAGCTACCAGTAGGCGTTGCCCTCCATGGTCTCAGCAAGATCTACGGCGACCAAGTGGCTATTCAAAATCTTAACGTTTCCTTCTACGAGGGGCATGTCACCTCACTGCTTGGTCACAATGGAGCCGGCAAGACCACCACCATGTATGTGTGGCAGAATGTTCTCAGTTTTTACTGTATAAGCACGTCCTAAGATGAATACAAATGCATTTCAGCCATTCATATACTGTACATGGTGTCTTTTAAATTTGATTTGTGCATCCCTTTAATCATCTCAAGGGCCTGCTGCTGACAGGGAGATTGTTTTGTCCAAATCTGGCACTGCAAATGCACCGTGATAGAGATTAGCCTGACGGGTCTTCATCAACTGGAGTACTTACATTTACATTTTAAATGTGACTAATTTTGCTGATGCTGTTATCCAGCGAGATGCACAATGAATGCGGCAGCAGAATAAGATTCAACAACGTTAAAAGCAACCAAAACCAAGATGGGATATCATGTCCTGTATTATTCTTGGGAGCAATAAATAATAATTTAAGAGGATGGTGCTGGGGAGAAATTACAAAAACAAGCTAATGGGACAAAAAGAATGGCATTTTCAACATTTTATGCCCAAGGTAGCAAAAAGGAGCAATAGTAACTGAACAGTCTGACTATTGTATTGGAATTATATTTGAACTTTTTCCCAATTATGAAACATAAAATAAACAAACTACACTAAGAGGATCATAAATAATTCTATAAGAACTATTAAACCACAGTCAACTCTGGTGGAATTTTATAAACCAATTCACTATTGTCACTCATGTAATCATCATGCATTGTGCTTAGGTCTCTTCTCACTGGCCTTTTCGCCCCATCGTCTGGCGCCATTGAGGTGTACGGCAAAGACATGCAGACCAACATCGATGACGTTCGCAAAGAGTTAGGGGTGTGCATGCAATACGATGTCCTCTTTGACCACATGACGACCAAGGAGCACCTGCTGCTGTACGGCCAGATCAAGGCCCCACAATGGTCACGCAGGGAACTGCGTGAACAAGTCCGCATGTGAGTGACCAATCATCCAGTGAAGGAAGCAAGCTCAGTAATATAATGCACTCAATCATATTTCACTTCTTAAATATGTCAGGGGCTCTGCATGATGTAGCAGTCCCATTTGATATATTTATTTATATTTGAATGCAGTTTGAGAACGCTATTGTTCTCAGAGCATTCTAGGAACAATTTAGAGCAATATATTTTTCTTGTTTCAAGCTCAACTTTTCCATAAGATTTTGTAATATTTTATTTGATCTATTTTTGTATTTGCATCTTAGAAAAATAATGTATCTTTCTGTGGCACCATTAAGCTATGGGTTGAACCCCCAGTTGCATCATGAAACTATTTCTGGAGGGTTTCTGCATGACAAGAGAAGTAGTAATAAGCCTAGACCAAAGGCAAGACAATGTACCTCTCTGGTTCCTGTAGTTCAGAAACCCCCACTGGGTAAATGATGGAACTCAGACTCTGTGTTGTAATGTATAGAAGAAGTATGTTAACATGGGCTCCATGTTAAATGCTTTTTATTGACTCCCCTACCAGGATCCTAGAGGAGACAGGCATGTACGCTCATAGACACAAGCGGGTGGGCACCCTGTCGGGCGGCATGAAGCGCAAGCTGTCAATCTCCATCGCCTTCATAGGGGGCTCACGCTTGGTGGTTCTGGATGAACCCACCACAGGAGTTGATCCATGCTCCAGGCGCAGCATCTGGGACATTGTTATCCAGCATAAGAAAAGTAAGTCTCTCAGACACACACACACACACACACACACACACACACACACCATGAATGCTAAAAATGAATTTCTATTAATATGATTTCCTTCTCTACATGGAACTCTATTACTCTGCTATTACTACTATTACCACTACTATTACTGCTACCACTGATAATAATAATAAGAAGAAGAATAACAGGTAGAAATAGCAAAAAACAAGCAAAGTTTACTCTCTTTTTATGTCATGTGGTGTCCCACAAGGCTTAATACTTGGCCGGATGTTGTTGAGTTTGTATCTGCTACCCCTTGGCCATATTATTCATCACTTCAGCACAAACCCTACCATTGTTACGCCAATTACACACGTTAATATGTCTTGTTTAGTTCTGAAAATTGTAACAATCTGGATTCCCTGCACTGCTGCCTTGCTGGCACCAAATAATAGATGGCATCTAATCACCACGTTGGACTGACAACTTCAACATTCAGCCAGTTCAGAAAAATGAATATAAATCAGAAACATTGCCAGTCAAACCAGTGCTTCCCAAAGACATAGTTGAGCAATCCATTATTTACTTGCCTCTATTATGCAGCAATTACCAATCTACAGTTGGTGCTTGATGCAGCAGCAAGGCTTCTGACAAACACTAGACTCAGAGAGCATATCTCACTAACTCTGACAGTATTACATTGGCTCTTTATTTGTTTTGGAATTCAATTTCCTGATTTTGTTGAAAACTTTATAACATAATATCATTTGGCTATATTTCAGAGCTTGTCATATGCACCAAGAGCTCAAACCAAATGTTGTCAAGGTTCCACAGTCCAGGCTTAAGACAAAGGGGGTTCTTGCTTTTGTGGAGCAAACTCCCCCCTCAAGCATTCGATCAAATCAGCTGAGTCTGTGTCACATTTTAAATAGCTTTTAAAACCCCCTCCTGTATTGGCTGGGATTTTTATAACTTATTTCTCCAAGGGGTTCATCTTGTTCTTTCATATTCTGTTTTATTTCTGTATGACTGACCATTCCCCAAATGTCTTGTTGTGGTTTACTCTGTATTTTATGTGCATCTGAGAAGCACCTTGTAATTGTTTATATAACACCCAATGAATATGTAACATTAGAAGCAGTTCAGGGTAAGAGGTTTCCATGAAGGACTGTGGTATTTAGCAATTACACAATAAATGTGTAAATAATTGTATAGCATTATTTTCATCCTATCAATGAGGACACAAACATAGTCTAAGCTTAAATTCACATTGTGTAGAGCACACACAATGCAAACTCTCGCTATTTCCTAAGAGGGAAAGGAGTAGAAGAACAGGGAAGAGCAATGAACCTGGAGCCGACTCTGGAGGGCTTTCCTATGCTCAGGCTCCTGACTTTAAATTTAGCATTTAATTAATCTTAAAGGAATCCAGCAGTATTTTTTTCTTTAGGCTCTCTTAGGGTAGCAGCAGTAATGACAGGGAGACTGTTAAATGTCATGTATTCGTAGATGTGGAAAATATCCTGTGTAATTGGCCCTGTCTCAGATGTTAGTGAGATTTCAGTGCCAGGGGAATCTATTTCAAAATAAACTTTCTGCATCGCTTGGTGTTTGTGCGCCTGTTTCTCTGATAATTTGTGAATGACACAGCTTCTGTGTGGCTTTGTCTTTGTAATGTCTGGTTTTTGGTTGTGTATTGTCGCAAATGTGTGTGTGCCTGCAGCTAGCCTTAAAACTCCTACAAAGCTTTGCAGATTAGCTTGGCTGGTAAACATAACCGTACTGTGTGCATTTAACTTAGCTGTTTGTTATTTCGTTGAGTTATAGTTATGGGTTAGGGAATGGTACGATAATGCATATGCAAAATTATTCTGATTGTTTTATGTGTGTGTCCTCCCAGATCGCACCATCATCATGTCCACCCACCACCTGGATGAGGCTGAAGTACTGAGTGACCGCATCGCCTTCCTGGAGAGAGGAGGATTAAAATGCTGCGGATCCCCCTTCCACCTGAAAGACAAGCTGGGTCAGGGCTACAAACTCACTCTCACCAAGAAGGTATTCATCCTCACAGGAATCCCGTCATCATGTTTGGCTTGAGCACAGATGCAAGATTGTGCTTTTGACTTTGTTTTCTACAACATCATCATTTTTTAAACATTCTTTCTGGTCAAAGGAACCAGTAGATTGAGAATTGGTTCCATTATAGCATAATAAGTAAGTGTTAAGTGATTATAGGCCACAACTTTTATTTTTTAGTCTGTAAGCTACAGCATACCTCTGATGCATTTTACTCAGACTTCTATTAACAATGACACATCTTGGGCAATGCACAGCCAGCATAAATAGTAACATTTCGCTCTACATTATTATGGAGGAACTTGTCTGTCTGTGTCTAAACAAATCCTAGGTTTTATTTCTGCCACACTGGACACTAGAGTTACACACAATACATATTGCAATAATGTGATTTGTATCAGATATATGGAAAAACTGCTAAATGGGCTAAATCCATAACAAGTAATGTTCTGCTGACTGCTGCAAACTGGCTCACACTTTTTTTCAGCATACTATATGCTGGATTATTAAGCATCCTGCTATCCCATATAGTGTCCTATATGCTAGTTTCATATTTCAGAAGCATGCAAAAATAATAATAATAATAATAATAATAATAATAATAATAATAATAATAATAATAATAATAATAATAATAATGATTTTAAGGACACTGGCA